GTCTCCCAGAAAAGATTCCGGCAAACACCTCTACAATGTTGATATCCCCGGTATTGTGTTCCCGTGGTCGGTTGCAGGCCTGGAGTAGTTTCGACTGATGAAATTTAATTTACAAGTGAACGCAGTTTATGGGATGCTTCTCCCGTGCTGAGTAGCATTAAGTCACTAGAGTGATACAAAACTAACGAGCAGATAAGGATTGACAACTTATTTTCAGTAATACAGTATAGTCACTTTCGATTGTGCATTCAGTTACACACTGAAATGTTCAATTTTGATCTATGCGGCTGTGGTCGACTGGTCAGGGATGCTACTATCAGCACGTATTGAATTATTAGTTCTCCTGTTTGGAACCCAGACCATTATTCATTTTGTTTATATATAACTTCACTGTCACCGGGATCAGTGACACACGGTTACTGTTGGTTTGTGTGTGATATATCCTCCACCGTTGAGAATCCTGGTGCCTAATACCAAACGGTGGGTTACTATGATTACAAATTCGTCATGATTTCATGTAATCGAATATACAACACAAAGTGCAACTGATAGGTGAACCTATCTGACTTATCACCAGCCCGTATCTGATATTGCAGTGACAAAGACGTGCTACCTGTTTTGAAACCAACATCAACAGAAGGCTCGATTTCATTTTTCATCCGGCAAAAGGGTGCTCCGTTCCCAAAATTAAGCGATGTTTTCCCGCCAACGCATTGTTTTTCTCTTCTCCACATTCTGAAAATATTCAGTCCATACTCAGCGTACAGGCCACAAAAGGCTCAAGAATGCTATTGTTACCAAATGGCAGTTACTAAACACTCATATTAAAACTGCTCTCCCAAAACCCAAACTAAATGTTTTGCTGATAAAAACTGTTATCAACAAAACGTTTTAGGTTAATCTTGTACATTTTGAAAGTAAGTCCATTTCGACCGATGTATTTGTCTGAGAGGTCATAAGAACTGTTTATTAAGTGAATGAAACGTGAAGCCTCGCAGTTTCATAGCTTAGCAGAACGCTGGATGTTATAGCGTGCGGTGTTTCTAATTCACCAGAATGTTATTATTTGAAATACGAATATTCCGGAAACCTAATTCGGTCACAGCAGAGGAGTTTGAACTAATCGCATATATATAATGCTTTCTGAATAGCGTCCCAATCCCATTTTACTCATTTTGATTAGGACTTACTGTCTACACGGAATGTGCAATGTTGTCCTGTTCCGTTCCATCTAATGTGTTTCATCTGTTTAACGATGATTCCTTCACTGCTACATTTATAATGGGATTGTGTCGTTCCGGGACAACTGTTATGGAAATTGAATGAAAAGTTGATTAGGTTAACCTTATAGTTGTACGACCGAGTAATTCTCATATTGAATGACCGTGGTTGAATACCCAGAATATATTGTGCGTGATTATAAGATTTAACCTTTCAAGGTTTCAATGTTAGGACTCAGATGACGAAAAAGACTTACTACGAACGCGGGTTCCAGTTCTGCAATTCGTGCCCCGGTACAATACAGGGCGATGGACATGCCAATGGCCAAAATTACTATGCAGTAGAGCATTGCAATAACACGTTGGGCATGCGTCCTAAGTGAAAAAGAAACAGAATGATGTGCAATAGAAGAAACAGAACCCGTCATGGTGTACTCATGATACTGAATAATGATACTCTCCATATATATTGACTCTTGGAGTACTTTATATTTGTCTACTTGAGCAAAGAAAGTAGTTTTCCTTAAATTGATTCGCTTTTGCTCAAAAGCCTTTTTCTAGAACCCTTTTCCATCTGTCATCCACGTTGATAAACAAACGAGCTTACTTCATGTGGCCTTCGGGGAAGCGGGTCAAGAGCAAGCTGTTTGATAGCCAAAGTGAGTGATAAGCATAATGTGACGGGTGTGATATTGCACAGAAAAAAGTATTCGCAATTGAGGATAATGTACTTGGTCATGTCTCGAGCAAACCATTACTTATATTTGTAGAGGATTCGATAGCCATGCAAATAACAATGAAAATTTGAATCAAATGGGAGGTCAACATAATTTTGACTGAACAAATAATGACCAGATAAACTAGTCACCACTAATACTGTTGTTTGTTCTGCCTCACGTTTTATATCTGGTTCAGGATGAGAAAGATTCTCTAGGTTGAAATCACCGGTTTATGTCCTATATTTCAGAAGCAGTCTATCAAAAGAAGCTTCGGGAATAATGGTTTTCTATAACAACGGTTATCTAGACAAATGCCGACAATGTGCGCACATTTCCTATGCCAGGAAGCTTTAGTTTGTAAAAATGTCTTTGTCCAAGAAAACGACTTATGCTTTGCTCTACTTTTACTTCCGTTGTTCCGGACCGATCAGCGACAAGTACACTGACCAGGTGCTCATCATTGGTCAGCCCCGAACGGTCTAGCGCACATCAATTTTCATTATATTATTTTTTCCAATCAAGTACACCGGCAAACAGTAGACTCCTGGTAAATGTGAGTTATCAAGATCAAATTTTCCTCAGGAAACATTTAGGGATTTGGTTTGTGTAATTCACAATCACTGAATACATCATCCAGTAACCTTCGCTGACCAGTTCCTAGCATACTCAGGTAAATGTGAGCAGTTTTTCCTAATGTCGACATTGCATCAGTTGATGGAATTTTAATGTAGAGCTTGGCTACAGTACTCAGCAACTGTTTTGTTCTTTTTGGACTTCATCTGCAGTGTATACTGGTTTTGTGTTCCTAGCGCTAATCAAATTGTGAGGCTTTGTGTTGGCAGTCGAGACCAGCACTCCTAAGGAATATGGTAAACATAAGACAATCAACGCCAAGTGTTAGATTACTGAAACGTTCAGTTGATCACTTTTAATTCGGTCAGTTCGTTGACATCAAAGACCATCCATGGATTACTACACAGTCGCTGATGACCGATAATTTTCATAGAATAACGAAATTATTGTCTAATTCATGAAGATGGGTTTATTTCAGAACAGTGTAAGGCATTGACCATACAAGCTGCCCGAAAGAGGATTGGTCTGCTATTGAAAACCTTTCAATTGATTTCTTCTAAATTGGTATAGATTTGAATATGAACAACTCTGAGGATCATTCAGATTTCCATGTACGGGCAAGTAGTATATCGTCAAAGGCTATTCTTCAGAGCGCTCTCAAACTGACCTTATTCAGCTGCAATAATTCATAAAAAATTATGGGATCTGAAGTTTCTGTGATCTGGCCTCTCTAATTAACCTCCTTCTATAAAAAGTTTTACGATTGAAATCTACATGCACGGTTTTATTTTAGTGTTAAGAATCTTTGCTGTCGTCCGATACAGTATAACACCTGACCTTACGGGACCTTATGTCGTTCACCACTCCAAGTCCAGAAACTTAGCTTAACGGTTTCCATCACTGAACAGTAAATATTTACGATCATGAAATCCACCGCGGTTCTTCACACAACTGCGTGTAATGAAAAAAATACCGGAAACACAGAGGAGTGTTCCACCTAAGGATGTTCCTCAGTTATCACTCTGAATAAAAGTATGGATATAAAACAAAAGATGCAAAATAATAATACGTTCCGTGGGAAACGATCACACCAGTTTGTTCAAATAAACGGACATAAGTTTGTTCCCATGGAACTGTGAGCAACGATTTTGACGGTTTACTCTGTCGCCAATTCCACTACGTTCTATGATCTGCGTTCTTCCATCTACTTTGATAAATTTTGTAAACGATTCAAATCCCTGGCTAGGTCAAAACTACCGTGATACCAATGACTGATGTTTCAAGAAATCCCGCATTCAGTTAAAAATGCAAAAACGTATGTGCACCTGTTGTCCGAATAAATTTTCACATCTCTAGACGAAAGGTTGATGAACAACATGAGAGAGCAGTCACATTTTGAGACCAAATGCCGTTTTATGCAGAAAAATATAATGCTTTGACAGTAGTTCCGGTCATCTAATAAATGAGAACAGGATTCATCCGGTTCACAAGCTGAGGCATGCACTAGATTGAAAGTTAGTGTATAACGGTTGCACGCTTCTGTAAAGCCTGTTTCTTCCCTGCTGTATTAAAATGAGCGATGACAAGTTTTCCACAGAACTAAACCTCGAGAGACGTTTCGTCAAGACTAATTTTGGGAACAATTGCAAACATAAGTTCACATGGACTGTGACACTCTATCTGGTTGAATCTGTGAATTTGATGGGGAATAAACAAAAATAAATGGACACAATATAGAACCTATTGAGTTGTTTCAGTTCTTTGCTATAAGAACTACTCACTAAAGATATTTTGAGCCATAAAATAATGCAAATTGAATTATTAAATATAATTTCATTTTGAATGGATGAGCGATCTATGAAAACTTCCTTAACAAAAGATGAACGAACCTGGGTTTCCAAGGTAGGAGATGTTGAAATGCGCTTAGGTAAAAAAGTAAAATGAGACTGTGGATAGATATAGGATCCAAAGAGATTAAGTAACGCTCTTCGACTGGAGTTACTGAATTTCTGAGTTGAACAAATAATACTTGAAATAGACTTTTCTGTTCTAACAGCAAAAGAAAAGATTGAGAAACATCACGTGTACCCTGTTTGCAAGACATGGTTTACATTCGGCCCTATTGGCTACAACAGCTGGTTTTAACCATGCACTGCGACTGTCCCGTCAAACATATGCCATAAGTGATAATTAATGTTTTTTTTCTCTTAGGAAAACCGTTTTTGATCATTAGCAAACTGAACTTTTCGTGCGATGCGGCACTTGCGGTATCTTACCTATTGGAGATAGTTTTCAAGTTTTTCTGTAAACGGACAATTGTTTGTTTTCTAATATCGGATATCACTGAAAAAATATTTTAGTTTGTTTTTCCCTTTGAGTTTCATCGGTTTAGAATAAAAATTTCTGTAAATTTATGAAGTAACATCATTTAGGAAACAAAAAGTACATGGCATTATTTGTGTTTCTACATGATTTTTTTTACTTGGATTTACTGTGGGGTGGGTGGTAATGATTCACCCTGATCTGTGTTTCCGAGTTTTCATAAGTATTTGGGTGTTGAGTTAGACAGGATATCAGTTAGCAGACAAATAGTTGTAACGGATAGAAAGTCGTCGTTGTTGATTACGTCACAATATGTAGCATTTGAAATCAATACGGTATTTGTCCGTCCGGTTACCCGTTACTCCACTCGTATAGTCAGTCTTTAAAATTGTCTGTTCTCAATCATGACAACGCAACGCAACTTCTCAAAGAAGAAAAATATGATTGATTAGTGATTGTCCATAAATGCCTTTTTATACATCAAGCATCGAAATAGCCAGTCAACGAAACCCGTTTCAATTTAGCTAACATTTCTATTCATCTCAGTCCAAAGGTAAACTACATGAGCAGTTTTTCACATCCGAAAAGAGACGATTCGATGGCACAAAGATTAATCATCGGCCCGGAATTCGACGCACATAAGAGACTTTTTGTTTGGTGATGCCCTCAAACTCTTCACTATGCATTTGACAGTTCGGTATTAGCCACTAATACATCAATCATTTTCGATTGCATATACTCGGGCAAGTCATGCAAACCACACGACAGCTATGTTCATATCCTTGACCTGTCTGTGTAATGAGTCACGCACATGCTATCTAGCACTCTGTGTAGTATATAATCCTGGTCTAAGACTATTTAGGATGGCCAAAGACAAATGGATTTGTGTGACGTTAGATTGTTCAATCTGGCGTGCGATGTAGCATACATTACCAGACTGGTCATCAGTACATCTGTGCTAAAAGACAGAGCCTTTTTATTGTCAAGAATATGGGGAACAGGAAGAAATGTTTATCTTAACCGTAATAAAGATCATTGTGGATCAAGTTCAAGTCCAAACCCGATTGGATTTATTTTTCAATTTCTTCTAATGATGCATGCGTGTGCAGCCAAATCAAACATTTTATGGAATAATGGGCGCAACGGTTTGGACAACGTTCTACTTGATGCTGCCCGTCAAGTTTTTAGGATAATCTTTATCTAATTAGACAGATTCTCACATGTCAGTATGTCTCTCCGTTCATGTTAATATCCTTCCGTGCTTCTATTCTTTCTGCTTAACAGAACACTTGGAAGTATTCTCCTTCCAAAACAAATATGGCCGAGTTATTCGTAGGGTTTTGCTGCGTTCACAACCGTATGGTTTGCACATGATAGAGATTTGGTTCGTGACGTTGGTGGGCGAATATGAAATAAATTGAGAAATGATTAACCAGCCCACGTTTTAAGCACACTCCTCTGAGAAACTGATGGCGATTCTCTCTCCTCGATTTAGAGGATTGTGCGCAGTACATATCAAATTACTCAAACGAAGCATCCACCAGTTTTTGTCATAAAATTCAAAAAAATGGATGTTAGACAGGGGACTCACGGTGACACTGTTACAGCTTCAACACACCATAGTTTTGGGTATAAAATTAGGGATTCTTAGCTGTTTTATTTAGATTACTATATAAGAAAACAGATGAAGTGTTTACCAGTCTTCAGCTGTTTTCTCCCAATAGTTTGTCGGGATTATTTTCAATATATTATCAGGTTTCAAGAGAGCTTATGACTTGTACATAATCTTTGTTCTTGATGGTTAAACATTCAACCTCTCGAGAATTGGAATCAACCAGGATCCCTCACACTACTTCTCGTAACTGGAAGGAAACTGCAAAGCTAAACGAAGTATTAATCTGTTGCTTGATTACTTTATGAGTTGGGTCAAAACAAATGATACAAAAGGCAAGCGGTGGCATTAGTCATCATCTCTTTGTTTCTTGGAGCCCATGCTTG